TTGTAGTAGTATTAGTAGCAGTAGTAGTAGTAGTAGTAGTTGTTGTTGTAATTATTATTGTTGTAGTTCTTGTTGTAGTTGTTGTTGTTATAGTTGTAGTAGTTGTAGTTGTAGTAGTAGTAGTAGTGGTTGTTGTAGTTGTAGTGGTTGTGTTGTAGTAGTAGTTGTTGTAGTTGTAGTTGTTGTTGTTATAGTTGTAGTAGTATTAGTAGCAGCAGCAGTAGTAGTAGTAGTTGTTGTTGTAATTATTGTTGTTGTAGTTCTTGTTGTAGTTGTTGTAGTTGTTGTTGTTATAGTTGTAGTAGTTGTAGTTGTAGTAGTAGTAGTAGTTACTGTTGTTGTAGTTGTAGTAGTAGTAGTAGTAATAGTAGTAGCTGTTGTAGTTGTTGTAGCTGTAGTAGTTGTTGTAGTTATTGGAGTTGTTTTAGTAGTAGTTGTTGTAGTAGTAGTTGTTGTAGTCGTTGTGGTAGTAGGTGTAGTAGTAGTAGCAGTGGTAGTTGTTGTTGTGGTAGTAGTTGGAGTAGTTGTATTAGTTGTTGTAGTTGTTTAGTAGTAGTAGTAGTAGTAGTAGTAGTAGTAGTAGTAGTAATAGTAGTAGTTGTTGTATTTTTTCTTTTTCAGATTTGTATTGTATTTTTTAAGTACAAGGGCATGATCCAAGGCATGATCCCTCAGATAGTATCAAACTGAGCTGAAAATGGTCACGTACAACCTGCTTGCATCAAACGATACTAGAGTCACTGTCCATGGTGCTGAAAATCTGATATTTATTTCACATTGTATTATCCCAGCTACTCTATTCTAACTCCCCTGTCTGTGTTATACGCTCTCCTTTCCCAACAAACAAAAGCCCTGTCACTATGCATTTAAGTACATAGCTGTCCTCTCAATGATGTAACATAGAAGATCTGCAGTCACCCAGTACAATGGAGCGGGAAGGCTGAGCTAAAGGCTGGAAGTAATGGTGTTATCCTGGGATAAGCCCTGGTTTACCCTTCACATAGGCCCACGGAGACTGCATCGGAATAAGTCATTTTAGTCCATTGAACACAGAAAGAGCAGCGCGAGGACCCAGGCAACACAATCAGCTCCTGCTTGCAGCCATTTTGTCAGACTCTTTATATGTCTGTAAACACGGCCAGTAAAAACTTACAGCAATCTGCCTGAGCACACAGCCAGTCAACAGAGGGGAGTTTATTACACCAGAGTCACATATTCTCAGCTAGAAGAGTGCACCACAGAGATGTCAAAGGCTCCATGAAGGTGCAATGTGTAACTTTTCTGTCATCAGTTTCTCTCCATGGAGATATTGCCTGGAATTTTCCACAGTACGGCTTTATAGTTATGTATCTCTATGGAGAAAGCAGGTGACACCGCAGGGACAAGCTACATGTCAGATCTCACCCACAGTACGAATGCAAGTTTTTAGGTCAATAAAAACCCATGTTATTGAGTAAATGCGAGATGAATATATGTAATGCCACACTGGGACATTCCAGATAAAACAATAACATCTCCATGGAGACAAGGGCAAGAAAGATTAAAAATATATGTAAAATAATATAAAAACTAGATCTGTAATAATATGAACATTGTTTTAGGGCTCATCTTTTTCATATTCATTAGTGAAGATTTTTATTTGTTGTACTTTATAATTTGAACTGTAGAGGTTTGAATGGAACAAGCTGTACCCAGTTTAATTCATATAATAAAGTGCAATCTGTTTTTCCACTTGTAAATGCAGCTCTTAAAATTAGACCTCGGTGTGCAGTTTCCGTCTAATTATGAAGCAATTGTTCATCTTCAAAGTGAGGCTAGTGCACTGTTAGCATGTTAGTTGTTGATAATTACTGTAGTTGGGCCGCTGCAACTTGTTTAAAATGAACTCGCTTGTTTTTCATGGTTTATAGTTACTACTATAATTTCATTGTGTAGTTATTGCAGCTGATTTTCTCTTGGCTTCAACGCTTCATATCATATCATTTGTCCCAATATTTTTTGTAATAAAATATATCACACTTTGAAATTTGTCACTGAGACAAATTTATAAAATGTGAGCAGAATTTGGATTGCATTCCTCTAAGCCTGGGGCATCCAAACTTTTTTCATATAGGGCCACATCAAAACACAGACAATCAGGGACTGAAATATGTGCTTTTTCAACAGGTTAGAATGAGCCATCAGTCCTTAGTTCAAGCTTAAATCCTCCACAGCACACACTAAATATTTAACATCGTCTCTATCAAGGTTTAAAAAAAGATTAATAAAAATAAATAAATTTAAAAAAAACAGAAGTAAAAAGTTCTGCTGCAGGTAATTTAGGCCAATTCACCTGGAAGCCTGAGGACCAAGACAAATTGATCTGAGGGCCACATTTAGCCCCCGGGTCATAGTTTGGACATGTCTGCTCTAAACACAAAGTAAGAAAAACTAATTAGGAAATGTTATTAATGACTGCCCAGTGCCCACACAGCTTCACTTCAAAAACCCACAGCCCTGAAGTTAGCGTTGTTCGCCTGATTTGAACATCCTCAACTCTTAAGATTGCATGTGTTTTACTCATGGAAAACCTCTGGTCAATAATGTCATTTGTTCCATGGATGAGAGAAAGAATGACTCTATAGAAGAGAAGACTGTATTCAGCTCTTTGATGTTGAGCCTGGCTGAATTAGGACATCACCAGCAGAACTGCATCTGCACACTCACAGAGGCAGAGAAAACCAGAGCACCCCCAAACAAACGAAACAAAACAAATGCATGCTGGCAGAGAGCGCGCACGTGCACGCCAGAGTGTGCACGAGAACAAAGAGTATGCACGTGTAAGCCACAGTGCACGTGAACACACATATTACGCCTAGAGGTCCCAAAAACTAGTTCACTCCTTTTGTCTGAGCGAGATCATGCATATTCCAGTGAAATTCATTATATTCACGCACAGGCGCTTTCTCCTGCTTTAACTTAATGAACGTGATTTGAATTTTTACTTTGCACTTCTTGGTGCATTAAGGTCTAGTGAAAAATTAAGCAAAAACAACTCAATATTGTCATGCAGTGGGACATTTGACAAGCTCTGAACAAAAAGCATAATTTACAATATATTCATCACCAATCAAACGTTGTGAGGATCCGGTTCACTCACAAGTCAGTTCTTTGCTTGTTACAGACCAGTGCTGCTCGCTTCAAGAAATAGAATTGCTACGAAAAGATCATTAATTGTTAAAAAAGCTTACTCTCCCTTAATTTATACCATGCTTGGAAAATCCAATTAGTTCTGCCCATGTACCGTATCTCCACTTAGTGCTGTACAATATACTGGAATCAAATCAAAATCTGGTCTTTTTGTAGAAGTGTTGTTGTACCTGTAGTTAAGTTCTTTAAAAACATTTCAGAAATGCTTTTATGAGTTCAAATTATATCTTTTCTCCAATGTAAAAGTTGACTTATTATACAAAATCCATATTTTAGAGCTTTTAACCATGTTATAGTTGTTTCCACTTCTCATTTACCCTCTCGAAGTTGTACTTAGAGTGATTCACACACGTTTGAACCATCTTTATATGGTGTTCAAGCTAATCAACCGTTGTTTCACCGCCACCGGTACATGCCCACCCCTCTTACTTTGTTCTCCAATTTTAATTTATCGTTGTTACACAAAAGATTCAGCAGTATCACGTAGACATTTTGCTATAAATATATTTTTAAAAACTTGTTAGCGTGATGAGCAGCTACCCATCTGCCAACATCTTCTTGGCTCTTTGATGTGATGACGTGTACACAGACGTCAGCTCCCACTGGGCACTGTAGTTTTATAACATGGTGCCATAGATGTAACTACATATATAGCAGACAAAAATCTTCTTTAAAACTCCTGGCCTGGGGTTGTTTACAATATGCTCACTGAACAGAATCCTACTTTTTAAACATTGATAGCAAATCGCAGTTCGATTTTTGTCTAAAATTATGCAGCCCTATCTCAAACTGGCTTTTGTTCCTTATCTGTTTCTCATATCCACTTCTAAGCCCCGTTACAATCCTGTGCACCCGGTTACCATGCAAACAGACCGAAGCCTGCGCCTTCTCTAAAAAGTCATTTCATCTTTCGCTCTGTTGAAGGTCATTCACTGAAATATGTATTTTGAAGGTGTTGCTGGATGAATGAGTGGGTGTGCGTGCATTAAATTACAATGCACATTTGTGGCTCTCCTCTTCGCTCTGGGGGGTCCTCACCATGGTGTCACCATCGCATATCAATTACACGGCAAAGCGCGGATCCATTTCTAATTCAATCAGTCAGGGCCGGTGTCACATCCCTGGCTCGCTGCTCCTCCGTTACTTCCTCTTCTTTGCTTCATTCCATAAGAGTTTTCCGCTGAGAGACTGTGGGCTTTATCTTTGTTACCACCAGTACTGTTTGAAATTCCTTCGGTAAAATCTCAAACGTGAAAAAAAAAACATAGAGGAACACCTACTGCATCAAAAACATATCCGGAGCTGTGTTTCGTTTCATTCTCACACGTTTGAGTAACCCTTGAGTATTATTAGTCTGTCTACACCTCCAAAGCTTAAAATGCTCTGTTCCAGCGGTAGTTTTAAAGTTAACAACTACCTTTTACCTTTTGTTTAGTAGAGACTGACACTGGTGAAGGTGTATGGGGTTTAAAAACACAGTGGAGCACTTCTTGCATTACCACATGACATCAGTTTGACAGAAAAACTTTGACAGAAGAACCTAAATATGCAGGGTTAGCGTGTTAAACATGTGTGAATGAAAAAAAAACAAAACTCCAGGCATATTTGTGATGAGGAAACAGTATGGCATAGATCAGAAAATAGCGCAGTATAGGCTCTTGTGTCGTGTTTGAACCAAAAGTTGAGGGTTACTCAGAGTATGAAGGTCAAAGAGGTAGTAAACACGAGCAAACAAATGATTGAAGATGCTCTGTAGCTTTACATTGTTTGCTAATGCTCCTCTTCTCGTCTGTGTCCTCTTCTCTCCTCAGAGCACAACCACTTGAACAATGCGTCTCTGTCTCCCATGGGCCCGGCCATGGCCTTGTCTCACCCCCACAACAACCTGGGAATGGGCTTCAATAAGTACACGTCCCTCAAAGCTCTGGGTGAGTACACACTATAACTATACGGTACACTACAGTACTACAGCACAGTGCACAGATCAGCCTGAGTCAGGTGGGGAGAGATTACTAACTACAGTGGAGTACATGCTCCGGAGCACACAGGAGCGGGGCCAGAATCCTATTAAGAGAATGGATTTTTTATGAGTGCGGCTCTCATCAGACCTCCTCCCATAATAAAAACGGACCACTTGTTCATCAGCGAACTGTACACTATAGTTAGCGTGATCGAAACAAGTTGAGCGAGTGATACGTTTATGACCAAATCAGATCTTTTGGAAAGCTCACATCACAACTCATTTTTGATAAGACATTTTTCTTCTATTTTTACACAGTATTACAGTACACACATTTACACGGGATTAACATAAAAGACTAACCAGGCTGGCACCACCTAATGACTCTGCTCAATTTAATTTCTTTCAACCGACAATAACAATAGACAGACAGTTACTGTTTTTCACAGTTTAAAACTTGAGTAATACTAATTGTTCAGAGAGACATGATCACTCAATCAGCAATAAAATATCCTCATTATTGTTCAGTAATGGTCAAATCCACCTTTATTTTTTGATTTACAAATAATGTCTATTGACTTGGGTCGCAAAGGTTTGTGACTTCTAAAATATGGGTCCCCAGAAAAAAAAGTTTGGGAAACGTTGGACTAGTCAACAGTTTTCTTTCAATCAGACTGGTCAAACGATTATTCTTATTGTAAATTGTGGATTAAATTAAAATACGGTGTCTTCAGGCATGTGTTATATTTTTGAGTCTGTAATAGTCCAGTTAACAATCCTAATACAACTATGATTATTGTATCAGTCAACTAGTCACCATTATCATGATTTAATCAATGGAGGCTTAATAGTTTTTGTTATTTTGTAGTTATTTTGAAGGGTAAACATCAGTTCAGTTGCAAATACAGGAACTGCAAGATTAATCAGTCAGGGTTTGAATGGTCACAATTATCAAATCATGAAGGCTGAACATATTTTGCAAGTATAATGTCCCTTACAAAGATTTGAATATCCTGGCACCAAGGGGACTTTTATCAAATCTGCTATTATTCCAGGAGCGCGCGTCTGTTCCCATGGCTCTTTGTCCCCAAGTCATCGGGTAATAGTGATTATATATTTGCTTCTGGACGTGTTAAAAATTTACTCTGGGAATCTTATTTTATTATGCAAAATTGACTTTTTAGAGCTTTTAGCAGTGTTATAGTCATTTTCCCTTCTCATTTACTGTCTCAAAGTTTTATTTAACTTGACTCATGTGTGAGTAATCTTTACACTCCTGTATTGTAAACGTCATTAATCCATGTATCATTCGTTCATTTGTTTTTCAAAATAAAACCAAAAACAAGAAAAACAAAAAAACAACTATTTTCTTCATTATTTGTCTCCAAAACCAAAATGTAAAAACGGATAATGATTTGGGGTTTGGGGATTTTGTGTTTAAATGAATAATGGAAAAAACGGACAAGGGCCGTTTCCCGTTTCCGTGACTTAAACTGAGATGCCGGACTTTTGCGCCGCATACGGACTGAACCAGGACTAAAACAGGACTAAAACAGGACTAAACAAGGACTACACCAGAACTGAACCAAGACTGAGTGTCGGGACGGGCCTGGAGGTGCTGGAGACTGTTGGGTGATCAGGACTGAGACCGGGACCAGACCGGGACTGAGACCAGGACTGAGACCGGGACTGAGACCGGGACTGAGACCGGGACTGAGACCGGGACTGAGACCAGGACCAGCCCAAGACCAGACCGGGACGCGTACACTGTCAGGTGATTAGGACTGAGACTGGGACTAGACTGGGACTGAGGCCAGGACTCAGAGCAGTTTAGTCCTAGTTTAGACCTGGTTTAGACCTGGTTTAGACCTGGTTTAGCCCCGGTTTAGACCTGCTTCAATCCTGGTTCAGACCTGGTTTAGTCCTGGTTCAGTCCTGGTTCAGACCTGTTTTAGTCCGGGTTTAGTCCTCCTTTAGTCCTGGTTCAGACCTGGTTCAGACCTGTTTTAGTCCTGGTTCAGTCTTGGTTTAGTTCTATTTTAGCCCTGGTGTAGTCCTGGTTCAATCCAGCATTGCAGTTTAAGTCACGGAAATGGGAAACTCTTTCCATTATTCATTTAAACACAAAATCGAAAACTGAAAAAACAAGTCATTTTCTGTTTTTTCATTTGGTTTTGGAGACAAATAATGAAGAAAATAGTTTTTTTTTTTATTTACCTATTTTTGGTTTTATTTTGAAAAACAAATCAACGAATGATACACGAATGATCATTTCTCAGGTAAAGTTTTCAACACCACCGGTATACACCCACTGCTCTGTACTTTGGTATTTTGGTCATTTATATTGCAATTTAAAATACCCAAATTTTAACATAACTATCTGCAGGTGTCACATCATAACTATACAGCTGACAAAAGCACAACGTCTTCTTTCATTTCATTTTTCCATAATATTTAAATTCTAGTTTGAACTCTTCAGAAGGACTTTTTATACGGCTCGTGATGATGATGCCATAAGGGCCGAGTAGTGGAGGAGAAGTGTCATTATGTGATCGGAGCAGACACACTGAAGCTGATGAGGAGCGACTGTCTGACACATGAACATGAGACGTGCACACGATGGCCACAACACACAAGAGAGGCACTGTCCAACCACGATACATCAGTGACAGATACTATAATCACTTATTACTGCCAACGCATACTATAGTGGAACAGTGGAATCAATGCGGACTAGACAGGCGAGATATAGTGCAAGAGTCTCTAACCTTTTTCTCTGGTGAGCTAACTTTACAAAATAAAAATGTCAAAGAGCAACTTATTTTAAAAGTTGCAATAAATGTAGTATATATAAGGGCCACAGCTTTAATAGACACTGTTAGATAGATAGAATATAAACCATTATTTATTTATTAGTGCGCAAAACTGGGCATTAATATGGTAGATTTACAATGGTAATTAATCAGATTTTACCTTTTCAGCACAATATGTATAATTCAGAAATACCTTGGCGAGCTACTTGGTATGGGGTGGAGAGCTACAGGTTGGGGACTCCTGATATAGTGCAGTCGAATTGAAATTGTGATTTGAGTAGTCGCAATTAGCAAATGATAAGGACTGTAGTTATTCAGATCGCATGTTTCCAGATTATCATGTCTTTTTCAATTTAAAATGCAGTCTAGATTTCAGCTTTGTCTCATATGTCTTTATTATGTTCCTTTAAAATGTGAACTTTGAACAGAATCCTATGAGAAAAGCATCAGTTGTAAATCGTAAACCGTAATGCTGTAGGAAAAATTGCAACTAGATTTTTTTCCAAAATTGTTTAGCCCTAATGAAGGTCAATTACACTGTAAAAGATGCACTACCAGTCAGAAGTTTTACAACACCACACTTTTTCCATTTTTTTTTTTACTGTTTATTGTTGACCAAAACATATTCTAAACTTTTGGTTCATGAAAGTGTCCACCTTTGGCAGATATAACAGCTGAACACACTCATGGCTCATTCTTTTTACAATAGAAATATATAGTCTTCATTCATATATTCTTCAGAAAGTTCTTCCCAAGTCTGTTGCAGAAGTTGCCATAAATGTGTGGCACTTGTAGGTTGCTTGGCTTTCACTCTTCTGTCCACTTCATCCCAAACCAGCTAGACGGTGTTTAAGTCTGGAGGCTGTGCTGGTCACTCCGTGTTTTTAGGCTTTACCATCTTGTTCTTTTTTTCTGAGGTAGTTTTGGCAAAGCTTGGACTTGTGTTTTATCTTTTTTCACCTCTGGCTGTTCAGTTTTTACCTTTTTACCATTTCAAGCTCTTCATTGGACTTACACGACTTGAACTGCAATAAATAACTGGAAAAATTAAGGTGTTCTAACTTTTGACCAGTAGTGTATAAAGATTAATATAGTTTAGGAGTGATTCCCTGACTTGTTTCTGTTCTAGTCTTAATTAAGTCCTTGTCTAGTCAAAGTTTAGTTCAGCATAAGTTCCTGTTTAGTCCCAATTTGGTGTGAAAGCACTCAAAGCCACAGTGTGTAATTGTTTAGCCAAATAACAGACTAAAATTAAAGCAAAGCCTTTATTTTTAGTTCCATGGAAACCTGCAGATGAGGTACCCCTTTCAGAAAGTTCCAAACTTTATCTTTAATTTGAGTAGTATTAAAGGGACAGTCCAGAATAAAGAATAATGTTTGAAATAAACCTAACCTTGCATCGCATGAATCATTGCATGTTGAGGGACTATTTTCTCATATATCAATCCGCCACTGCCAAGCTTTCTATCAGGAAGTACAACTCGCTGCTGCTGCTCAGACATAAATCTTTCAAGGTTGGTTTAACTTCTAAAACTATTCTCTCATTCTCACATTAACATCGACAGTCTGGCATAATAATAGATTTGCTTCGGGTGTTTTGTGGAGTGGATAAGACTGTTTTAGTGGCAGGATAACTATGACCATTGATATGCACTAGCCTAGCACCAGCGACCTCTGCAAATACAAGGACTGGATGGAATATTTTTAAAAGTATCTAAACACGTCTGGCTCACTAGGAAATGAGGTCTTATGTCCAAAATTCCAGACTGTCCCTTTAACTACAGTAGGTGATTTTCATGTATTTGATAGACCATGGTTATCTGGCTTCTTTGATAAAACAATTAGACCCAATTGGCAGCTTTCCATCACTAATTTCAAGATTAAAGGTAACAACTACAACATGTACTGGTTTCTAAATAATAATCAGGACAAATTGTATAATAAAGCAAGCTAGTTTTAATCATAGGATCTGGCAACCTCAAGTGCCGATCATATTCTGCTTTGAATTAAACAACCAGCTTGATTGTAAATACACCAAAATTAAAATTGTTCCCAGTATCCATATTTAAAACTCATCAAGGTCATACAAGTATTAAATCGAACCTAGTCAAAGTCATTTTAACACAATATAATCTTTTACAGTGTCTGGACTTAACAGACTGTATCATCCAATCATCGTTTCACACATGTTTAGAAATTACAGCTGTGCAGTAAAGTCCGGTGCCCAAAACATCCCTCGCTGTGTTCACAAAGTCATGGCTAGGGCACACTACGAGAGCTGAGCGTGTGCCAGCTAATGCTGCAGGTACCCGGAACACTGCAGTCGAAGCTTAATGAAATGTACAAGGCTTAAGATGGACTATGAGCAATTCAGTTTTGAAGTGATGCCAAGCCCACTCTTTCATACACTGCCCTCTCCCTGTCCTCCACATAATCAATAATGCAGCTAGTATGTAATAAATATACTTACATACAAAGATGAGCCGATGAAGAACAGGGGAGGGGAGAGAAGACTGTTGTTCTCTTTTAAAAATACTGCTGAAGTATAGAAGTAAAATTTAAAACAGTAGAGTTGTCACGATACTATTTCACTCTATTTCGAAATTAAAGAAAAGGCAATGCCACTACTGATACCAAAATAATAAATAACAGTGTTTTTAAACTCCATAAACCTTCACTCGACTCATTTAGAACATTTCAGACCTGGCACTGCTAATCTCTAGTGAATCCGTGTATCAATAGTTTTTCAACATAAAACCAAAAATAAGAAAACAAAAAAACAACTATTTTCTTCATTATTTGTCTCCAAAACCAAAATGCAAAAATGGATAACGATTTGTTTTTTGAGTTTTTGATTTTGTGTTTAAATGAATAATGGTTTCCCGTTTCCGTGACTTAAACTGCTATGCTGGACTTTTGCTCCGCATATGGACTGACCCAGGACTGAACCAGGACTAAAACAGGACTAAAACAGGTCTAAACCAGGTCTAAACCAGGACTGAATCAGGACAGAGTCTTGGAGGTGCACCCACGTAGACTGTCGAGTGATCAGAACTAACTGAGGCTGGGACCAGACCGGGACTGAGACCGGGACTGAGACCAGGACCAGACCGGGACCAGACCAGGACTGAGACCGGGACCAGACCAGGACCAGAGCGGGACTGAGACCAGGACTGAGACTGGTTTTGTACTGGTTTAGTCCTGGTTTAGACCTGTTTTAGTCCTGGTTTAGTCCTGGTTTAGGCCTGGTTTAGTCCTGGTTTAGTCCTACTTCAGTTCTGGTTTAGTCCTGGTTTAAGCCTGATTTAGTCCTGGTTTAATCCTGGTTCAGTCCTGGTTCAGTCTGTATGCGGTACAAAAGTCTGGCATCGCAGTTTAAGTCACGGAAATGATAAACGGTCATTATTAATTTTTAAATTATTCATTTTAACACAAAATCGAAAACTGAAAAAATGAATCATTATCAGTTTTTTTCATTTTGGTTTTGGAGACAAATAATGAAGAAAATTGTTTTTTCATTTTATTATTTTTGGTTTTATTTTGAAACACGAATGAAAGAATGATACATGGATTGTAGTGAACTAAAGGCATCACAGGGTGGAAGAGAGCATTTTAAAATATGGAGATGTAGACAAACTAATAATAAAGGATTACTCAAACCTGTGTGAATGAAACAAAACACAACTCCAGGTTTGTTTTAGAGGAAGCAACAACATTCTGCCGTGGCTTAAATCTCATAAGAATCCATTTTGTGTAATAAAAGACCTTTAGCTGGGTGGCTGAACTTCTCTGTGCACAAACTATACACCAAAGTGATTTAAAAGGACACGAGGTGTAGAAGTTGGTGAATAAATGGGTGGCAGATGGGGAGTTGTTGAAACAGAGAAGCACAGAGGACAAGGCTGTCAGGTGCTCCTGCTGGCCACATGTGAGCGGACACTCAAACCGACAGCACCAGCAGCTGTTTTGGGAGTCAATCAACTATTTATGCAAAGTTTATTCTGCGCAATATTTTAGAAGTGGGTGGTACATATTATACTCTCATCAAAAGCATCAAAAATCAGATACTAATCAATATCAGAACTAGTATTGTAACTAGATACCATTTGTACAAGCATCAATACAAAGAGTCACATTCATAGGACAGAAATGAACCCTTCCTGAAAAGCTTTAGAATGATCTTGAGCTGTATCATAACAAATATAAGACCACACAGACTAGTAAACACTCTGGATGACTGAGGGATTACAAAGATATAAGACTGCATGGTGATATAAAAGAAAGTACTGTGATTAAATATTGAAAATGATATTCTATTGTCTAAAGAAAGCAGAAAGGAGAGTGTTTTTTATTATCATAGTGGTTTCAGAATGAAGTCTGTTCCTTAGCACCAAAATTGAGTTTGAAATTTTAGTATAGTGACAACTAGGGATGTAACAATAACCAAAATATTGTGATATCGTATCGTCAAAGGTCTCTCAATAATATCATGGGCTGCCGCAATATATTGAATCATACCTTAATTTGCTTAAATGCTTGGTTTTATAGTAACGGCTAAGAAACATAGGGAACTACATATCCCATGATTCATTTCAGTGCAGACAACATGAAGAAATTATTTTTTACTTTAATTCTTGGAATTATGACAGTATTGATTTGCTTCTTGCTGCGTCTTGTTAGGATATGTATCGCTTTTAAAATACCTTATCTACAATAACTTCTCCAAAATATCGCAATAAATGTCAAACCATGAGATGAATATAGTGATAATATCGTACCATGAGTTTTGGATATCGTTACATCCCTAGTGATAACACTAATAGACTTCATACATAGGATATGAGAAGTTTATATTGATAGTTATTACAGATAATATTTGAATTAAAAATGTTCACATAGATATAAATATAAGAAACCTTTCATAACGCTGCAATAAAATTTGTGATAAACAGAAAAGAGACTCGCAATGAAATATTTCAAACAAACGAGGTATAAGGTGACATTTCTGCACTGTGGTTAATTTTACAGTTCATTTACTGTTTGGTGGTACCTCTGAGACATTTCCAGGCATGTTTTAGGAGATTTCTGATGGATTTCAAAAGTTATATATTATAGCTCTTTTTTTTATCATGCACCCCAAACATCATCAACTTCTAACTTTCAAAAGTAATGAAACTTTAAAACCTTAAAAGTTGTCTGACGGAAAACAATTCAGATATTTTTCATTCAGCGTAAGATTTAAAGGATCCATATTATGCCATTTCCAGATTTATGTTATAATGGTGTATCCCCATCGAAAAACATACCTGAAGTTATGTTTTGTTTCATTCCCACACATTTAAAAGTCCTGCAAAGTTAGGCTATATTCTTCTTTAGTCCAGGTATCATTTGTTCATTCATTTCATTCAAAACAAAAAATAAGAAAACTATTTTCTTCATTATTTGTCTCCAAAATCAAAATTTTCTATTTTGTGTTTAAATGAATAATGGAAAAAACGGATAACGGCCGTTTCCCATTTCCATGACTTAAACTGAGATGCCGGACTTTTGCACTGCATTCGGACTGAACCAGGACGGAACCAGGACTGAACCAGGACTAAATCAGAACTAAACCAGGACTAAACCAGGACTAAACCAGGACTAAACCAGGAGTGTCGGGACGGGCCCAGAGGTGAACCTGTGTAGACTGTCGGGTGAACAGGACTGAGACTGGGACCAGACTGGGACTGAGACCAGAACCAGACCAGGACCAAGACCAGGACTGAGACCGGGACTAGGACCGAGACCGAGACCGGGACCGGGACCGGGACCAGGACCGAGATCGGGACTGAGACCGGAACCAGACCAAGACAAGATCAGGACTGAGACCAAGACTGAGACCGGGACCAGACTGGGACTGAGCCTGAGACCAGACCGGGACCGAGACCAGGACTGAGACTGGTTTAGTTCTGGTTTAGTCCTGGTTCAGTCCATAAGGGTTCAAATTGGATGAAACAGGAAAATTGAAAAAACAAATCATTATCAGTTTTTTCATTTTGGTTTTGGACTCAAATAATGAAGAAAACTGTTGTTTTTTTTTTTTTCATGATCTTATTTTTTGTGTTATTTTGAAAAATTAATGAACGAATGATACACGGATTTTCTCTCAAACTGAAAACACCACAGTCCACAGTTTTGCATACAATAAGATCTTTAACACTAATGATGTGACCTTGTTCTCTCTTTGATGCAGATACAACTACAAGAGACTACTACAAAAGCTACCCAATGCTGGAGTACGCACACCGCCAGTCCCCGCCCACTTTCCAGCCAATCAACTTCCACCCCAAGGACAAGCCCTTCCTGCCTCCCCCTGACATCCACGCCCCCCTCGCCATCACCATCAATGCCTCACAGATCCCCAAGCCCAAGATCTCCAAGACCAACACCCACCCACTCACCACCAGCTCTGCGTTCAAAGCCTGGGACCCCAGCAAGACTCATATTCAGCACAGCCACATGGGGGCGCTGCATCACCCCATGCCTCAGCAGCACCAGGCCATGCACCCACACAACAGACGTCAGATTTACTCCAACAAAAGGCAGTTCAGCATCGAGACCCTCCCTGAGCTCTTCTCACAGCCGCTGGGGTATGGTCACTCACCGCTCATGCACCCCAAGCACAAAGGACTGCCCACCAACAGTAAGACGGAGGTCACTGTGTAAGGGACACTTTATCCAAGGCAGCCAGTATCATCATATTCTCAGTGTATGAACATGAGGAGGTGTGTTTTAGAGCCTGGATGGAGCCATGAGCAGATAACTCTTTGAACCAGGAGGCTGTGCTAAATAATTGAGTGTCCGGTCACAGTGTGAGGCTGCTGTGCTCACACCTCTATGACAATCTGTAGCAGCTGTGTAAGGCAGCGCGGCCCCTGCACCAGCACACATGCACCTCTGACTGAACAGGAGGAGCGAGGAGGAGGAACGAGGAGACAGTCTCAATGTGTGGTCAGCTTCCACTGGCCCTGAACGCTCCAGGAGTGAGATATCAAACACTGGAGGGCCCAAAGAGGACCTGACAAAGTACACACAAGTACACAAGGCTCAACAGTTGTGTAGTGACCGTAGTGATATCTATTAGACACAAATCTTTGTACATCAGCATTTGTACTACTTATACTCTTTTCAAGTTTGTAGCATACATAATGTATGTGTACTGATAGTGATGTGTCTCTATTTACAATCATCAAAGTATTTTCCCAGACGAGTCTATAGCCTACTTTTAAACGTCGACAAAAAAGGTTAGATGTGAAAGAGTGCATGCATGTTAGAGCTGAGTCCAAAAGTTATAATCTCAAAAAAAAAGTCTTCAGTCACTGGTGATGTTTCTGTCTTTCTCCAAAGGGCTGTTGTTACTCAAAACGACAGAAACATTTAGAGTGCATAAAATCCTGTCAGTACAATATCTCACGTCAACAAGATGAAGCCAACAAGACAGAACACACTGGGTCAACAACAAAGAATCTAACTGCTATCATACAATATACAACACAATTATAAGGCAGCAATGATAAGCCCTTAAACAGAAGTGACAGTGCTTTCCCTGGTGCGTAGGGCTATTTGTTTGAGCCTGAGCAGCACAGTGGTTCAGAGTCTGGCTCAGGCCCTGATAAACTCACCTTCATTTGTTTCCCTGCACACAGAGCATATGCTTGGCAAAGGCAGAGGACAGCAGACAGGTGGTGAAGCTAATCATACAGTGGAGTTTATCGCGCACACACACACATACACACACATTTAGTGCTTTTCTCTCTATTGAACTCATATTTGCTCGTCCATAATGCTCGACCTTAGAGCTCTGTAGTGTTAATAACAGTTTGAGTGCTGTGTACAAGCCACTTTTCGGTCTGATTGTACACAGCGGCTGTGTGCCCACCAGAGGTACTCCCAGAGGACTATCAGAGCTCATACACTCTGAGCATGCTTCTATCACACGTACAACACAGGCTCATGAATGGCCAGATGCTTCACAATATATTATTCACATCGGGAGATTTACTGCCTCCATCTGCCACTTTCACATAAGCCCAGTCGCTTTGCTATGGCACAGATCCACTCTGCTGTTGGAGCACTTTCTTCAGAAGGATGCTCACTGCATCTAAGTCCCCTGCTTATCAATAATAATTAATGAAACTAAGAAATCTCTGCGGCGGAGACATGTTTTCTTTACCTCCGTCCATTCTAAAAGCATACTTACTAAGGCAGTGGATGACAGGTACGGCACATGGAGGGCAAACATTAATACTTGGATGGTTGCCAGAATGACATCAATGTGAAGGAAGCAAGAGAATATTTAAGCGTCAATAAAACAAAACTTAATACTAAACAAGCAATATGCAATGTAAGCAATAAGTCCATACATTAAATCACTGCGTCATTCTGTGGTTGAAGGTTGTGTAAAATGAATACAGGCTACAGCAAAATAATCTAAACAGGTTATAACATAAGAGAGACAATATTAGGGGTCATCTTTTCCCTCAAACACCTGCCGTTGGTGGAGGGACATATTGCCTGTGTGTATGTCCGCTTAGTGTTGGCAGTGTCATTATTTCACCACGCTCCCTGGTTCTGCACAAACAACTGTAAACTCATAACAGAGTGTCAGTAGTGACTCTGGGACAATAGAGAAGTGACAGTCAACAACGCACCCTGAGGATGCAGCAGACAGGCTACAGGCAAAAGCTCAAACAAGGACACACACCATATACTTCTACACATACACACAGTATGCAGTACCTCCCCATGGACACTTTTGGAGACACAACTCACTGTAGAGTTTTATTTAGTGCCATAAATGCAATGACTCATCAGACTGATGGTAACCAAAAAAAAAGACAATTTGACATAAACACTCCCAGTTCCAAACTTTGTAAATAACTGCAAAGAGCTAAATATCAAATACTCTTTATAGTTCCCCAGTTAGCCAACATTCAGTGGCTTATAAGGTCGAGTTCCTTAGAAAAGTGTCTATGGGATGTGCTCAATTCTAAATACCAGACAGAGAGAGGCCACACTGACACTTCTTAAATCTCTGCATTGAAGTGTGGTGTAACAGCGCACCAATGCACTTGAATAAGGACGCACTGAGCGGACCCACTAGAGTTTTGGGTCACAGATATCTCTCAGCGCTGACAGACGTCACTCGCTCGAACTGACTGTTGTTCGTAAGACTTCCTCTATATTAAACAGTAAAGTATGCTATCAGGTATTCTGAATGCGACCTGATAGACATACTTGGGCTCCATGATCCCTAGCAATATAGATTCCTGTGTATGGTTCAATTGTTTTGTCTGTTTTTGTACTGTGTTTTTCAAAGATTGTGCACTTGTAAAAATAAAGTTCATTTGACTGACTGAACATTTAAAGTGCTTCCAGATTTTAGAGTCATGGCCCAATTTTCACAAGATGTGTTTGCGCTTGTGATGCTAACTTACGTTGTCTGGTTTACATGCACTCATGTATTAATGTTCAAATATTGCATTGTAACAAAGTGCTTCGCCAACACAATAACTGAAAGATGAGAAGGAGGTTTTCAGTGTATAGCTTTTGCATATGTAAAAAAATACTAAATTGTGTTGTTCATGATCATTTGATATTGGTGGCAATAGGTTGCATTGGATTGCTATGTTGTGTATATATGTATGCGGCGCTACATGTCTGCTGCGAACTGTCGATGACTCAGCTAAAATAAGGGCTTTTTCTAGAGCAGACTGGGCGACGTCAATCTCTGTAAACCACACTAAATTGCCCACTGTTTTTTAAGGGTTTGAAGGGATATATACTGGATTTTCATGCATACAAAACAACAAATAAATACAATGTTTGCGTCTGTTGATACTCAGACATGAACAAAATTGTGAGTTTGAGAAATTTCTTTTAAGAAGTTAGTTTAAACTCTTTTTTTTTACAGCCCGATATCTCCGTGTTGCTTCCTAACTGATCGTGACATCATCTGGAACGGTCTAGGTGAGCGATGAGCCGGCGCCGCGTCGGTAAGAGCCCCTAAGTGTGTGATGTCATGCAGCGGGGACAAACATGAGAGCAACATGAGAGTGTATGTCACCGGATCACGACTTTGTGTTTAAAACTACATGCGCATTAAGCTAACAATGTGTGATAGATACAGCGTGGGCTAAAAGGGAGCACATTTCTCATTAAACTAAAAGATTAAATTGTGGCAAAGTTGTTTACACACGTCTTCTCTGGAACTAGGCCAAATACATGAAAGTCAAGTCTACATTCAATCACAGTTGCTCGTGATTGCTTTGGATGTGAAGTAGCATTAAGCAAGAAGATAATACAGTCTAATAATAATAATGTCTATATTGTGTAAAAAATTATGCAAGGTTAAAATAAGGGATTGTTTAGTGATATGGAACTATTTCTCCAGATTATAGCATTGGTCTGATTTTGAACATTTCGCTGATATTTGTGACACCAATACTTTTTCTGCACTGCCCCAGGCTTTGTGTGCCCATGTGTCAGTCCCAGTTTGTCTTTTTGAGCAAACTAAAAGAGTAAAAATCTCAACGTACAGAATGTCCCGGATAAGTACATTTTGTTATTTTTATATAAAGCAAAAAGTTAATTTGTGAACTTCCCTATAACTTAACATAAATTTGGCCCTTAATATGGATTTAAAATCTTAATATCGGTATCTACAAATCCAACCCACTTTATTTATATAGCGCATTTCACAGTTTCCAAAGTGCTGCACAAATACATACTAATAAATTAATAATAATGATCAAATAAATGCTCAGATTTAACCAAACTAGTCCTAAAACAATAAAACCAGAAAAATAAAATAAGAGAAAAAAATACAATAGCAATAAATAAATAAAACCAATAAAATACATAAAAATAAATAAAATAAATAAAAGACACAGAGGACCACACAACTTATGTGGTGTTAAAAGCCAGAAAATAACTGTCTGGTTTTAACTTTCATCTTAGGCACCATGAGCTGGACAAATATTATTTATCAGCTACAACAGCTATGGACACATATCAGATCTCTTTTATTACTCCATATTGGACTATTCCTAATTAGACTATGGATAATATTGCCTATAATTATAGAAAATTTACAAAATCTGCAAAAAATATATATAAATGACTTTTTCTCAAGAGATATTTCTGTATTTTTCTGTATAATATGACATACCATTACATTTTTGAGCAATACATAAACATTAAACAACACATTTTAGGCAAGTTGTAGCACTTTTTTGATGGACTGCAAACTTATTATCTAATTATCGTTATTCATTTTTGACAATACCTCCCTGCTCTACATTTCTACACACTTATAAGCAACACAGTGCAAAGAAACGAATGTATGCACATAGAGAAGCAGTAACATAAATGTAAGATCATGCTTGTTTGAGGCATAGCAATGGGCTCCATCTCCAGCTGTCATAGATGTCACAGTTCATTTGTGTGACTCAAGGCTTTTGGACCCAATCCATCAAACAGAGCAGAGAGCAGAGAGCCAAACGCCGCAAAGCACAATGGATTTCTCCTACTACTATTGCTACTATTACTGCATCCCATATCCCCCTGTATAGTCCTCTCTAGTATTACATCAATAATTATTTTTTAGATAATAGAATGTTCTCTCCAAATAACACAATATCCTCTCAGCTTATTGTAATGTATGG